CAGAACAGTTTTAAATGTGCCTCGAATACTGTGTACTCAAGAGATTGCATTATACATTCCAAGTGTGTTAAATAGAGTTTTTTCAGAGGGTTCTGGCAGTGTGATAATCTGAGGGAACCCCAAATGGTGTATCAAGTCATTTTTCATTTTTACAGGTTTTTAATTTTACAAGTTTTGTGTTCCCTCTCGCTGGAGGTGTTTTGGCTGTGGCTAACAAGGCAGACCGAAGAATGTTAGTCTCTGTCACAGTCTGAATCTTTGTGTTGAATCTTAGCGGATAATGGTGCAGAGTTCCTTGAGGCAATTCAGATTTCTTTGACTGGCAGCTAGATCTTGTAAGGGTGGCCCATCTTAATCTCAACTTTATTCAATAATCTTTCACAAGACACATTCCCATTAAAGTAACTGACAGAATATTGTGTAAAAGTCTGTATAATACTTAATAGGTATGCACAATTACACAGTATCAAAAAAAGACCTCACCAAGTAAAGAACTCAGATCAGTAAGGATTAAATCTGCATAAACTGACACTGGGAGTTCATTAAACATGCAGACTCTTTTTGTGTGGAGAGATGGAGGCAGTAGACAACCAAATATAATCACAAAAGACAGGCTGGGGTATACAGTTTGATAATAGCTTGCAGGAAGCAGGAGGAGCACATGGATATTAGTCACCTCACAATAATGCCTGTATATTCAGTACTCTCCCATGCTTTTATTTCTTTCCCTTGCAAATAAAAAGAAATTAAATGGTGAAAAGCCATGTCAAATTCTAAGCAACAACAACACAGAAAATTAGTTTAGGCTTTAGAGCAGATTATTTAAAGGGGTCCTATTATGCTTTTTTTACTTTTTCAACTTTAGTTAGTCTGTAATGTTGCTGTTTGAGCATAAAAAAGATCTGCAAAGTTACAAAGCTCAAAGTCCACTTCAAAAGGAGACATTTTATTTAACAGTAAAAACTTTTCAAAAACTACAACGAATGACTCGTTTGGACTACAACGCATATTTTCCGGGATTTGTGATATCACAAATATCGACGAATGGGACGAGACCTGGTTGAGCTGCACTAGAGAAGGCAACGAGTGTTATCACTATATTGGAGACACGCTAGCTTTCCCAAGACAGACGAACTTAGAGTGGATACAATCATCCGGGTTTAAATCGTGCTCAAATTGATTTGATTTTGACGCAATATTTACACTGAAGCTCGCAGGCGGCTATGGTAAGGGGCATGACATTTCCCAATCACAGCACACACTGGCCCAGCTAACCAATCACAACACACACTGGCCCAGCTAACCAATCACAGCACATTTCGTATTTCAGAAGGCGGGCTTTCATTTGATACAGGAACTATTATCAGAGCCGTTCATGCCAGACTGGGGAGAGAGCTGTTGTAATAATGTAAAATATGTGAAAAATAATGTGTTTTTCGAAACAACCTAGTATGAGAGCCTGATCTAGTACACCCCCAAAACAAAATCAAGACTTTGTAAAAGAGCATAATAGGACCCCTTTAAGTAAGTGATTTGTTTATTTCTGGGAGATATTCAGACATTTACATTTAAGATATTCTACAGTGGGCAAAGATAGTTTTATGCATTGAAGTTTCTCTCTACAAATGTAGTGCAATGTGATTAACTAATTAAAGATTCTGATTAACTGTTGGTATGTCTTGACAGATTACATCAGACATCACATTAAGTCCACAGTACGGTTTGTCTCCCTCCTCCTATAAGAATCAGTACTACATTGTCAAAAACTGATAGATATTATATTCAGAAACAGAGCAAAGGCAACACTAGGTAAACATTATCATTAATACTCATATTTCAAGGTGTCATGGAAGTTTCTGACATCCCTTTCGATTATTCCTTGCCTGAGCCATTATCTCAAAATGTTTAAAGACAACTACTGTTGATCCTGCTCTTAAAAAAAAGAAAAACGCTGTTTAAATGAATACAATGCTTCATCATCATTATCATGGCTTATAATACGGTTTACTTCCTGCTGTAACAGGTGCACAGAGAATGCCATCTCCACTAGCATTCACAAAGTCCTCTTACAATAAAAAAGTAACCCGAGAATGCTGTTCCACTACAGCTCAGCTTTTAACATGACTAAACAATCAGTCAGCGCTTTACACCCTTGTTTACTTCTTGCTCGGAGTCCCAGTGGTACACTTGAACTCCCACTTGCACTACAACTGTTGCCTTCCTTGAACAAATACATCTCCTTTGAGTCGTACCCTCAATCTGCAGTGCACTCCATTTCCGAGTTTCCAGGAGGTACTTTTAATGCCCCCTTAAGTCAGATTTCTGACTCAGAACCTCAGGAGACCTCAACTTAAATGGGACATCAGATGCCCATTTTCCACAAGTTGGTATGATTCTTTAGGGTCTTCATGAAATGTCTGTAACATACTTTGGTCAAATTCCTCAGTGGTCGTGTAAAAACAACACCCTCTTTACCTTGTCAAAACACAGCTCTGTTCACAGCAACCCGTTTCGGTGCATGACTCAGACAGCCAATAACAAACTGGCTGTGTTTTCTTTTCAGCTTTTCTGCGCTGGCAGACACAACAGAAACCAAACTAATCTAAATACAAAAAAAAATTTAATCCGATGTTCCCTTTAAGAATCCAAAATGGCTGCTCAGTGCATCAACAGTAAGTGAAAACGTCGTAATATATAGTAGTAACATTTATTTGCACTTTGTCTGTGTCTCAAATCAATTATGTCTCAATGTCTGCACTTTTTATGTGCTTTTATTGACTGGTACTGCTACTTATGGATGCGTACATCTTGGTTTTCTGACTTGTGTACTGAAACACTGTTATCTCGAGTATAATGTCATTCTCAAGCTGTGACATCTGAGGCAAATGGAACAGACAAGGTGAGCCCTCAAGCCCAGGCAGTGCGAGACGTGACGTACACTAAACTACTTCGATCACTGGAGCCATAAGTGGGCCACCTAAGTCTCCAAAACAAAACTGATCCTACAGGCCACAACTTCAAACGTTCAAGGCCACAAATGAAAATACCTGCAGCTCAGGATCAGCGGTCTGTTCAAACCTAAAAGCACATTACAAAAAGGGAGATATGATACATGGACAAGCACATTGATGCATGAGTTTCACACCCTTAGTTATCATCCATGTGCGGTCCAGAACCAGCAAATTCACCATCATATATCAAAACATACATGTTGGTCAAGGTTAAAACAAATACACTAAAAAAGACAACATTATAAAGATAAGCCTATTTAACTTTTAATTTAGATTATTTGACGTTAAATGCATCATATAAGTCACTTTGGAATAAATCACAGTAGGCCTATGTATCATGATAAAAAAAACTTCACAGTCTGGAAATACTTTAGGCTATAGCAAATTATTTTGCGGACCCCCTATCACTTTAAGAACCACTGGTCTACACAGAAGAAAGAACTGTCTAGACTCTGCCCCTGTACGAGTTGTGTCGAGCTATTCATTAGTCTGTTTGATGAGAAAAATATGAAATGTAGTTGCAATAAAATGGGTTATTAATCCGTACAACTGCAGCAGTGGAGGACTATTATTCTGCTGTGTGACACTGCAGAAGAACTGATGATGGCACGGTTTGATCTTCGGCTGACCAATCAGCAGAAAGGGACGTTTAATTCCCGCCCACTTGTAGAAATCTAATATTCAAGCTGTTTATTAATTTTTCCACCAAAGAACGAAAAATTAAAATGTAAGCTGAATTCTCGTTTTTCGTTTTTTGGGGGAAAAAAAACTAAAACACGAAAAAGGAGCCGTTTTCTCATTTTTCTACTTTCAATATTAAATTAAAAAAACGAATGATCGAATGATACACGGATTAAGCAGCAGGACTGATTTCAACATTTATAATAATAAGAAATGTTACTTGAGCACCAAATCAGGATGATGTGACGCTGAAGACTGGAGTAAATGGCAGCTGGAAATTCAGCACTGCCATCAAATGAATAAATTAGTTTTTAAAATATATTAAAATAGAAACCAATTATTTAAATTGTAATATTTCACCATTTCACATAATATTACTGTTTTAATAAGTTTAATTTAAATAAATTAATAATACACCCTTGGTGAGCATAAGACAAATAATAATTAGTATTCCCAAAAATACTACTAAAGTAGTAAGACAAAGACTAAAGAAAATCCAAATTCTTGAAAAGAATCTCCTTAAAAATCATTGTACATTCATTCTAAAAAGGTTAGGATAACATACAACTTGTCATAAAATAAAGATAAGATATTTTAGATTTACTGGATTATTGCATATGAATTGTTATAATTAAGCACTACAACATAACACTATAATGCTTGTTACAACAACTAGGGATATACACGAGTTCTCTGAAGTGTCACCAAAGTTCAAAATACCATGATATAATCAGATAATGCCAAAGTCATGTGATTATTTTTCTTTAGAAGGAAATTCTTAAGATGTTCTTTGGAGAATGAGATAACTTTTCAGGAAGTACACGTAGGAACATTCATGCAAGCATCTTGGAATTTAACCAAGAAATGTCTTAACATCTTTCTTAAGAATTTTGTGAATCCTGCCCCTGTAAACTTTTTACTGTTTTTGTGCTCAAACAATCGCTTGACCTTGACATACAATTCACCTACCTCATGTCAAGCTAATTAATACATGCTTTAACATCTATTCTAAGCACATCCACATCAAACTCTCCAAATTTAATGGACTTATCATGCCATAGTGAACATCTAATTAAGAAAGCTTTTTAATCAGGAAACTGAAATTGAAAAAAAACGCATGAATATTTAAGATCTCAGCTCAACTTAGTCAGCTGCTAGTTCATTTGTATAAATTGGCTTTAAAGCACTCAGTCAAATTTAGAACAAGGATCAAAATTGAAATGAGGCTGTTGGTCGAGTTGGCAGTTAGTCAGGCATACTAAATATACACTATGCAAACCTCTCAGCATGACCTACATACAAATACATTTACAGACCTCCAACAGCAAGCTAACATGGAACGGTTTTCAAAACAGTTCTCCAAAATACATGCAAATGCACTCAAGCATTAAATTAAATATATGTTGATACCAAAACACCTCACCTTCCCAGCATAGTAAAAGGGAAACCAAAAGAGGAAGATATCAGAAAAAAATTCAGCCACACTGAAGAGTCCATAAACCACCCAGTAGGTTAGCCATTTGGTGTCATCTTCTTTATTGTTACTCTCAATGGCTTTGATGCTGCATGAGGAACGGAATGACATGTGAAAACAGGGCAGTCAGTGTGGGTTGCTCTCATTATTGTGCTTCCTAAATGCTGTGCAAACACATATGTGGGGTTCTCCAGGTCTAGCATCTGCACCAATATGCATACTAGACATTTGTGAAATTTGACATGTCACACAAACTTACGAGGCATACGCTGGGTATGCGAAACCAATCAAGTTGCAGAGGAGGGAGGCGCCATATCCAAATAACAGATAGAGTGCCACAATAGATACTGCACCTGCAGAACAAACAAGACACATGATCACTGCCATTATTCAAATGAAGAAGGCCATTTAGGAGTACTGATGACATTGTGTTTGGTGTCAGTGTTGACACTTAACAGGATGGAAGAAGCACAAACAAAGGCTGTCTATTTGTTTAAGTGTGAACATAAGGGAAGTTTTCATAGTCTAGACACTGCAATTCTGCACAGACACTCGAGGACATACTACATGTTTAAAAATAACACTTGGGAGTGGCTATTGGTAGAAGACACCACACATTAGACATCTCAAGTAACCAGTCAATGCAGTTGAACAATTGCACGGATAACTGGCACTTCATAGGTCATTTGTTTGATGTTTTTCAAACCAGCATGTTTTTTTATCTTAAAACAACGAGCAATAACAAATAGGCTAAATAGATGTAAATGCAACAGGGAAATGACATATCCCTCGGGGGTGGGGGCTGTTCATATGGCATCTGTTCTTGTCACACATACACACGCAAAGCAGAGTAAAGTTGTATTTGTAAATGACTCCTTTTTTCATTCGAAGCTCTTTGATGAATCAGGTGAACCGATTCTCAAAACCGGTCTGAACTATTCAACAAAGCGAACTGAATCAGCTTAAGTGGTTCCAGGGTCAACAGTTTATCGACTCAATGAACCGCGAACTGTCTTTTAATAAAAAAAATGTATCTAAAATCTTTTCTAAACAACAATGTTCCAAATTCTTGATTTGTTCAGGACCAGCAGTTTAAAAAGAACCGCTTCGGAAAAGTGACTCGGTCTTATCAGTATGACTCCCAGAGCACTTTGCACTCATTTGCAACATTCACCAAGCCTTTACATATGGGTGACAGTAACTTAAGTCACGTGTTAAAATAAACTCATACTTTTCTTAAGAAAATCAATATTCGATGGTAATGTTTACAAAGAAGAACTTTTAAACTCTCGCAAACCCAATAAAGCCTAAACTGATTGCCAACACAGTTTACATTCATAGCGTACGCCTTATATTCCTGACTAAATCATTAAAGTTGCTTTCAAACAAAAGATTAAAACCAGTCACATACCTGTTGCAGTGTACTGTTTCTTAACTCCAGTTTTTTCCTCTAAAACCGCTAGAAAATCCGTTACCACATTCTTCTGCTTAAAAAACGCTTCGTAGCGTTCTGTAACAGTATTTAACATGTTGTCCTTCCTCGTCTATAGTATAGCCGAATGTAGTGACCAAGACCAGAATTGTAAACAGTTTTCCAAACCAAGAAAAGTAACACTGTACTTTGATAAAGTTTGTCCCCTCGCAGCAGCAGCACAGCACAGCACTGGCTCACGACAGGATGGCACTGCGCGGCTGCGCACACAATCTACGGCGACCAATAGAATCAATACAAACACATGATTCCACCCCTCAACAGGTGATTATGATTCTGCTGAAACGCTGAGTAGGGAGTTGTGCTTTTGACTGAGAGCATGATAGCTTTGTTGGAGAGCCTGTCTTTTCAGAAGAACAAAACGTGCGCTCCTACTATTTCCTCACCGTTTACCCCGTTAACTGCAGCCGTGGTTGTAGGCCTAGCTTAATGCCAATAAATTAATATTTCTAAATTACATTTTGAATATTTAAGGCCAATCCAAAAGGCTATTTCGCTATGTGTTCCCTCAGACTACAACGGCATAACTTGTCCTTGTGTTGTCATGTCATCTCACCTAGAAACGTAGTTTGGGGGGAAAGCAGACACATATCTGTTTCAAAATTCACGTTTGAGTTTTGTTTGTATGTGATATTATATTGGAGTTTACTCATAAATTCAAAACCACCATCAGAAAAACCCACAGGAGATTCAAAGGGAACCCATATGGCTCTGATAGGTTGATATCTTTAGCCTATTAACAGCTATTGGGCTATATAAAATTAAGGCGTCTTACATAATGTCAATATCAAAAAATCTGTCAATATGCCACTAATCTTCAGTTTTAAAACACCTATTAACTGGGTTTCATCAAATGTATGCACTTGGTTTAGCAGTTTATTCCAAACACATCTGGCATTTTTAAAGTTTACCAGGGGAGGGCGCTCTCCTCTTGGTTGACAATGTCCAGCTGTCTGTCTTGGTCTCATTTTAACAGTGTTGTATGTTAAAATGAGTACGTTAACAATTGGCGCTTTTCCCCTGCATGGTACGGCACGGTACGGCTCGGTACGGTTCACTTTTGGGGGGTTTTCCACTGGGTACAGTACCTGGTACCTGGTACTTTTTTTAGTACCACCTCGGTTCTGGTTCCAAGCGTACCGTACCGTTACCAAACCGTGACGTGTTAACTCTGCTGATCACGGATTGGCCGGAGAGAATCGTCACTACCTGCGTCACTGAACTTGCGACACAAACACAACAGAAGCGCTAGATTTGAATCAGCACAGCCAGCGAAGGATCGAACGCAACTGTTTTGAACGAGCGCACCTTTTGTTAACAATCAAAAAGTGGCTGTTCCCTTTTGCACCGCCTATCTGTGTGATAAATGGTGCAAAAGTGATTTGTGCATCTGTAGAGGCAACGGCGCGCACTGTTCAGAGAGCAGAGAATTTCAGCCAATCAGAAGAGCTCATTTGGGCGCCTGAAACACGCCCCCTAGTTTTAACCACAACCCCGGAAAATCGCGAGCTGCGAGCATCTTGACAGCAACAAGTATCAAAAAAGGTATGTGGCTATTTTTTCTTTCTGAAATCATTTGTTTATAGTGATTCGTAGACTAGGATTTGTGCACCTGCAGTGAAGGATTCAAGAACGTGTAACTGTTGTGTTGTGTTTGTGGGAGAGAAAAAAATATCTACAAGTATGCAACTTTTGTCTGTGACTTCAGATTTACTGATACACATGTGTGGCTATTCTCTACAACTACAAATTCCGCTGTCACGGTCACTCAGTTGTTTTGCACCAAAAATACCTTCATACAACTGTAACGACATGTGAATAATCCCGTCCATTCTAAAGCGATACTAAACTGCAGCCGAACCGAGCCGTGCCGTACAGTACAGTACAGTGGAAAAGCGCCAAATGTTCGCTCTTTTAGGTGCTGCATACATGTTTTGACGGAACGTCTACACGTTCATTTATTAAATTAAGTATCGCTATTAAAATTATTAAACACCATTGTTCTGTAAAATAGAGAGACATGCATGAAGAATTTAACAGATTTATTGTGAATTCATGTAAATTTAGTCATACACATATTCAGGTTTGATTTTCTTTCTTTTCTTTTTTTTTGTCCTTTCTGTAATTATTCTTATTAAAATTTTCCATACACAGGATATACTGTACTGATTCTTAGCTGGAAGTGTGGTTTTTTTTTAAGCTGTTGCACTTTTTGTTGTGGTCAGGCCAGGATTAATCAACTTAATACTCCGACCAGTATTAAAACACCTCGTACACACACACACACACCTAAATTTAGATGATCTTTAATAGTTAGGTGTCTGGGTTAAATGAGACTATCACGTAATATCTGCACTGTTGTTTACTTTACTGGTTTTGCACTCTATCTGCCATATGCCTTGTGCTTTATATATATATTTTTTACATTTTACCTTATTTGTATAGTTGTATTTTGTATTTAATCTGTATCTATCTTTATTTATGTTCTACTGTAGTGTTATCTGTATGCACCAAGGGTCTGAGAGTAACGCAATTTAAATTCTCTGTGTATGTGCTGTACATGTGGAAGAATTGACAATAAAGCAGACTTGACTTGACTTGATCTCCTGACTGCTCACAATGCCAGCAATGTCACTAAATGGGACAGGCATACCCTAACTCTTAAAAGTCATCAGACCAAATTACAATGGATAACAATGCCATGTTGTGCCTGCAGACAGAGGATGTGCTAATTGTCCAGAGGACTTAATCCTCTTTTCACAGAATTGCGGAAGACTTTTTAATGATCATTAGCACCGCCATTGGCCGTACTGTGTGAAGCTGTGCCTCATTGCTGTATGATTAATATTTCTGTACATCTTATACTGAATAGATTTAGAGCAAATGTGTACATCATTGTCTGTAAAGCCTATAGAGTTTTTGACTAGTACCTACTACTACCATAATGTGTGTTTACATACACTCTGAGTTGTCCTTCTCCTATTTAATCGAGTCGTGCACAGTCACTCGCTGACTAATGATTTTTCAGTGTCTCTCCATTCCTGTGCTTTATGGTGTGACGTCAAAGCAGTCGCAGTGGTTATTTAGGTTGACGATGCAGTGAGTGAATATATCTGCTCCTAGTAAATGGATTAGTGTTTGATCGCACCTGAGACACCGCTGTCGTCACCTGTGATGGTCTTCATTACATATGGAGAAATTCCAGCCTCTCAAGTCTACTCTAAATCCGCATGTAGTGGGACTACATGTAATAATCTACACACTGTAAAATGAATACTGAAATTTATTTGAATATACGGATTACATACATTGATTTGATTGCATAAAACTATGCTTTGGTTTATGTTTAATATAATTTTAAACTCAAATACTAATTGGAGCTGTGGTCTAGTGGTTAGTGCATAGGTTCCAGATGTTCAGCTGCTCTTGTGGATTTGAGCCTGGCATGTCATATTCCCAACTCATTCTTCCCACAGATAGCTATGCCATACTTACATTATTCTTGCAATGTAAGCTTTTTTTTTACAATAAACCATGATTTATATTAAACTCGTATTGTTTTGAAACTGACCCCACACTGACCTTGGCCTTGGGTTCCCAGGATTAGTGCTTCACCACTTTATCGTTCCACAGTCAATGGCCTCCAGACTCTGACTAGGTACTTTTAATACCCTTATTCCTTGTAATCGCCTCTGACTGCACTGTCGTGAAGGCAGTGGTTTGGATTTATACTTGATTGCTTAATCTGTTGTTAGAAAAGGTTTACACAGAAAGGCTTCCTGCCCACACAGATCTTAGCATGGATGAGAACCGGAGCAGCTCAAGGCCGGCATCTTCCCAGTGCCATTCCCCTCCTGTGAACCCCTTGAGAAATATGGTGGAATATTTCAAGAACCTTATCAAGAACTCAGTATCTCCAAAGTTTTGTGTATGGGTAAAGGACTACTGCAGAAGGAACGGCTTGCTCACCTTATCACTGTTAGCAGTGATGTCGGGTTGTGTAGTGGGATTCACATTAAGAAGCTTGAACTTGTCAACACAGGTAATGTGGAACATAAAGCTTCAAACTTGTTATTGAAGAATCTGTTTTGAGTCCTAACATCAGCAGTGGACTGGTGTTGTTTTAAATAGTTTTTTGGGACAAAAAAATCAATTTGTTTGTTATCCTTAGAACAGGTTAAAAGGTTGCTCATTTAAAATATAAATTGTGTGTGGCTTTTAAAAATGAATGCGCTAGCAACTTAACATTAAGTACAGTCATTATAATAATTGAATAAAGAAATGTTCCGGATTCAAAACAAGTCAAACTCTGTTGGCATGTTGATTTGCACAGACAATAATTTAGACTCATCACTAAATAATGCAAAAGCTGAGTTTATAGTAATGCACTTAAAATGAAAATCTATGGCACAAAGCAGTGCACCAGGACGAATACACACTGTAGCCACAAAACCTTAACATTATTCATGTCTAATATGATTAAAATCACGTATTAACATTTAAAGTTATATCCAATTTTTCACAATATACTCAAGAGTACCATAAGAACTGTTTACATCAAATATGTAAATCAGAAATTCATAACCGGAAGTGCAGTTGCCTTGAACAGTAGTGCAGTTGCTGAATGGATGATATAGAAAACTTTACAAAACAAATAACACGGTGTAACAACTTTTTGTAAAGCTTTAACAAGAATGTTTTACATGTGCTGTCAATAGCACTTTGCTTCTTTAGAAGCTAGAACGCTCCTTTAATTGTAAGATGTTTTTGATGACCTTTGCTCTTGAAGCCTGATCAACATATCACATTTACACAATATATTTTCCAGCCTATGTGGCATTTGTACTCAAAACTAGGTCTTAGTCCTGCTTTTTGATGATGTGACATCTGGCTTTTGTTACCCACAAATAAAACTCCAAACAGCTTTCAAGGTCAACTAAGGAGAAACACGCATTACTTAAAGTCAACTGACGTAATTCTCCAGGGATATTACAGAAATAGTAAATATTGAAAGTAATTAATTCTAGTAGAGTTTAAATGTTTGAAATGAATTGAAATATTTTAATAGCAATGTCACTAAAAGCCATGTTTTCTCTTTTCCCTCAGGCAAAAATCTACTTTTCTTTTCCTGGAGAACTTCTAATGAGAATGCTAAAAATGTTGATTCTTCCTCTCATCACGTCCAGGTAACTACACACCATATCACTGCTTTTTAGTTTACCAAACACATTTTTGAAAACCTAACAAAATATCTTTCATCAGAAAAAAATGTTCCATCATGAGAAATTCTTCATTTCTGAAGTTTGAAATCTTTTTCAATTAATAGTGGGATAGTTGATTGTTATAAAAGGATATATATATATAGAGTCAAAAATTTAGAAGAAGTGTGAGAGTTACTTGAAACCAATATGGAGATGAGTTGCAGTCAGCCCCTATTAAAATTAAAAAGAAAAGTGTCTGCATTTAGGGGAGGTAGTTATATGTGAGATATTTGATGTGATATTTATAATAATGATTGAAACGCCAACACTTTCCTTACAGTTTAATGTCTGGCTTGTCTGCTATGGACACCAAGGCCAGTGGACGCCTGGGCCTTCTCACCATCACATATTACCTGTGGACTACCTTCATTGCTGTAATCGTGGGGATTATTCTGGTACTGATCATTCATCCCGGAACTGGCACTGAAAAAGAGGGGCATAAAGCCTCAGGAGGGCCAGTGATGACGTCTGCCGATGCCCTGCTTGATTTGATCAGGTATCTTCACAATAATAACAAAACCTACCTCTCAGTTTTTGGCAGAAACAGTATAAGGGAGAGGAGACAGACCACTTGTAGAAATATGAATAGGATATGGCAGCTGTAGGAAAGGAAGTCCCGCCCTTCAGTTAAAACAGCCAATAAGCTTATTGGTATATAGGTGGCATTTTGTTTCATTGCTCTGCAAGTGCAAATACACATTAGCTAGAGAAACCTGAAAACTACAGTTTTAACATTTTCTGTCAGATATATTAGTTATTTCAAATGTGTTATTTATGTTAGTTTCTCTATTCAAGCAGAAAAGAACTGTACTTTCATCCTTAGTCTTCCTTAGTGAGCGTTTATTATTGTTATTACTTCAACCAAGTCCCTTTTAAAGTAAGTCAGTCCAATATGTGTCTATAGTTGTCATTGCCAAGATGGCCGTCAAGTGGACTGGCTTACCTTAAAAGGGACTTAGTTGAAGTGTGGTGTTTGAAAAAAATGTAGAAAAAATATTGTTAAAAAACATTCCTTTTCGCCCTTACTAAGGATGACTAAGGATGAAAGTTTAGTTATTTTCTGCTTGAATAGAGTATGGTTAAAGTGTGGAGTTGGACAAAAATGTAGACAAACAAGCTTTAAAGTATTTTCTTTAAAGTCAATGTGAAACCAAAATAGATTCCATTTATGTTCTTAATTTGTTCATTTCATTCTTAATGTTTCTTTCTTGATCATATTGCTATTCATCAGTGTTTGTCGTTATAATGTTAAATTAGAATGTAACTACTTGCTCATTGTCTTCCTTTTCCACCTCACTTAGGCAGAAATATAGTGAAAATAGTGTTAACCAACAGACAAACAACTGTTTAGACATTGTTTCAGCAAACTAGCATTTAACATTCCGGTATATAATGTTCACAAAATCCAATCAGTTCCCCTTGGATAAAATCAAGTTCTGCTCTGCATTATTTCTCATTGAATATCCTGTTTCACCTTTTCTCTCAGTTACATCTTAAATTTGTTGTCTTGTATAAAACACATCTGTATTTTATTTATTTTATTGACTATCCCATTCAAAAAACAAACTGTAAGCAATGCATTTCATTTTTGTTGATCAGTCTAAGAAACGCCTTAAACTTACATAACTGATTTCGAGCTGAAGTCCAGCTTTCGAGGCTTAAGCTTCCCTTTTGCTCTATCCTGTCACTGGACAGAAGGATTGGAATTAGGTATATTTAGAGAATGACATGGCTTTTCCCGAGTGCGAAAGATCCTCCTAAGCTCCGGACCAGATTTAATTGGATTGTAGTCAGGGACACGCCAGTAGAATTGGTACTTTATAAATAAAGCATTAGCCGATAGCCTCTGTCCTCCAAGTCTTCAGGCTGAGATAAATCATACCAGCTTTTTTTTATTATTATTTTATTTAGCAGGCTGTGACACAGCCTTGTACAATACCTCAAATCAAGTAATTCTAAAACAAACCATGTGTAATTTTTGGCATGTGTTGGCTGCAGAAAACAGTCTAATAGTACACACTATACTTTATATAGTATACACTGTGTTTAAATCTGTGGCCTTATGTATGACAGGTTTTGTGTGTTTTTCCAACAGGAACATGATTCCGTCCAATCTGATTGAAGCCACATTTCAGCAGGTGGGAGAAACAAATGAAGAGCAGAGGAATGATTCATCTACAGTGTTTTGTATCTAATCCATGTCCATCTGTGCTCTTCTGTTTCAGTATAAAACAGAGCTTGTGCCCAATTTTAAAAACAGCGAAAAATCATCACAAGCCAACTTTGTGTACATCATGCCAGACTATGAAAACCCCAAGATGGGTCACCCAGTGTTTCTTGAACTCACTCCTCCTCCTGAAATCCACTACAAGATTGTACCAGGGAAAAGCAATGGGATGAACGTGCTAGGAATCGTCATTTTCTCTGCCACTATGGGTGTGTATAATAGAGAACTGTCTTGTATTACACTATAACCCTGCTGAAAAGATCAGCTTAGATCAGATTATGCTGGTTTCTGTTGATTTGGGGTTGTGGTCAAGGAGTTCACCAATCAAACTAGCTGTTTATAGCTGGTTAAACTACTTAAAAAGCCTAATGGGAACACTAGTATACCAGCATCCCATGTTGGGGACTAGTGTCCAAAATACTGTACAACACAATGGAGATCATCAGTGTTGAATTTTTTTCAGCAGGGAAGCAGATTTATTGTACAATTTAAACAGTTTAGATCAACATGACAGAGTTTTTGCAGCTCATTTACTAAAATAGGATATTTAACAAGAACATGTGGAGCAGGACTTAATCCATTGCATCAGGTTTTAATTGTATTTTGAAAAAGTGGTGTCTATGAAAGAAGGCTAATAGATAGAGGGATTGAAAAATAGGAGGGATTTGTGATTTCTAAATTGAAAAAGACTCTAAATACCGTTCAAAATTTATGGGGTAGGTAAAAATTTTTATTTGCCTTTGTAAATAAGTCTCTTATGCTCAACAAGGGTGTGTGTATTTGATAAAAAATATTTATTAGATTTTTTTTTAATATATATTATTACAGTTTTAATAAGCTGTTTTCTATTTTAATATATTTTTCCAAATTAATTTATTAATCGTGTGATGGCAAAGCTGAATTTTGTTCTTTAGTCCTTGCGCAATAAAAGTTATACAAGTTAATAACTTAGTTAAAATATTTTTTTTCTCCGCAGGTCTTCTGCTTGGTAGAATGGGATCCAGAGGTTTACCTCTAGTAAATGTGTGTCTTTGCGTCAATGAATGTGTCATGAAGATCATCAATGCTGCTATGTGGTGAGTAGATGTGGATTGTGAGAGATTTGTAATGTCAACTATTACAGAAATGTTCACTATTAGACATACTACATAACTACAAGGACAGTCATCACATGTTTTGTCATGCAAACCTGTGAAAGCAGCAAGTGACTGGCAAATAAAGCATAATCCCAGACCAAAACAAATGAAGAGCCAGCTGTCTCTTTAATACACACCAAAATACGTCAGTGTAATAGTTTAAAAGGAGCTCTAAGCCTCCTCATTCTACTAAATGAGGTTGGCAGTGGAAAGGTGTTCTGGTGTACGAGAGTCAGAGGCCAACTGAGAAGCTGATTTAGTCCGTCAGTAATGCATTTAAAACTCAGTCAAGTGCATGCACCTACAATAAGCAAATTATAAATATATTTTGTTTTAACACTCCAGTCTCTTTGTACAGGTACTTCCCATTTGGAATCGTATTTCTGGTTGCTGGGAAGATCCTGGACATGCATGATCCTGCGGTCCTTGCGGAGAAGCTGGGGATGTACTTCATGACTGTTCTGGCGGGACTGTTCGTCCATGGTGTGATTTTGCTGCCACTGTTCTTCTTCCTGTTCACTGGGAAAAACCCCTTTAGCTATATCCGCGGCCTCCTCCAGGCTCTGGTTATTGCTTTAGCAACTTCATCCAGGTAAGGAAGCCGGTTTGAACAGCCTTTCAGCTCGATGCAACAGAAACAAATGTTAATCCATGAACTATTTCAGGGAATAGTTCCATTAAATCACATTCAATTGAATAATAAAAGTGTTTTTTCTTGTGGTGTTCCAAGGGATTATGAATCTTAACCTTTCTAATTATACAATTTGAAATACGCAATTTATATTTGTATATTTAAATCATCCTTCTCTTTCCAGTTCAGCTACTCTGCCCATTACAATGAAGTGCTTACTGGAGAACTGCCACGTGGATCGGAAAATCGCTCGATTTGTTCTTCCTGTGGGTGCTACTATCAATATGGATGGCACAGCACTATATGAAGCAGTGGCAGCCATCTTCATTGCCCAGGTCAATGAGTACGAGCTTGACTTTGGACAGCTAGTTACTATTAGGTAAAGTATTTCATTTACATTCAGAAAAATATACACTACTGGTCAAAAGTTTTGAATAATTAAAACTTTTACGTTTGAAAGAAGTCCCTTATGCTTAACCACAACAAAACGGTAACAAAGTAATATTGTGAAATATTATTATATAAATCAATTATCACAATTTAAAAGAACTGTCATCTATTTTAATATATATTAAAAGGAAATTTTTTCCTGTGATGGCAAAGCTGAATTTTCACCAGTCATTTCTCCAGTCTTCAGTGTCACATGATCCTTCAGAAATCATTCTAGTATATTAAAAATAAATTATTTTGTCCACACATTAGACGCATTAAATAGATACTTAGTAGATAAAATACTAATTTCAAAAAACATGAAAAATTCTATCATTCTAAACTTTTGACCAGTAGTGTACAGTGACAAAGCTGCATGTTCCAATGAAGCTGCATGTTGACTTTGACCATCTATTCTCAGTATCACAGCTACAGCGGCAAGTATCGGAGCAGCTGGAATCCCTCAGGCTGGTCTTGTTACCATGGTTATCGTTCTTACCTCAGTGGGTTTGCCTCCAGATGACATCTCACTTATTGTAGCTATCGACTGGATCCTGTAAGTACAACACACTTAAATACTACAGCATATACACCACAAGTAACTCAATGAAAGTAAATCTCAAGTATCATTTTTCATCAGGGACCGATTTCGAACAATGATCAATGTGCTTGGAGATGCATTAGCCGCAGGAATCATGGCTCATTTGTGCAAAAAGGACTTCCAGAAAAACATCCCATCCTCAAACAACTCAGAGAGAGTAAGATATATCCACCATGTGCTCATTTACATATCTATATTCCTAACTAGGAAATAAGCAAGTATCGTGTGCAGTAGTGGCCTGTTGCGTACCAGTAACAATAATAGGCCATATTAGATCAAACCAGCCATATTTGACAGCTGCATAATCACTGAATTTTGTGTCTTGCAGCGAGATACTGTGATATCTTTTGGAAACCAAAGCGTGCAGAGTTTTCCCACATCTGAGGTTCCACTTCTGGCAAACAGGGACTACATCTTAGAGGTTGTCGGGGATCAGGTGATTGAGAGGCCGGCTACCTGTTATAACCTCTGCCAAGTCTAACTTTGACAGACCAAGATACCAAGCAGGAGCAGAAGTTGCCTTGACTTCACAAAAACCTTCCCCCTTTTCCTCCCCTTTGTTCCACATTTGTGCCATTCTGTGTTTTTACATCACAGATGTTACTGTTACCTAAAGTGTCGCCTTTGGTGAACTTGAAAACTAGGACATTTGGGTGCTTTTGACACCTTAAAATGGGGGGGTTTGTAAAATATATAAAACATTTTTTAAATGTTCATCTTCTAGAATTGCCTTAAATGCAAAAGTTAATGACAGACCACAATAATAATACTACCACAATAATAAAACCCATGTCCAAAAGGTAAACATTACGCAACTAGCAAGTCGATTGGGGCTCCAGATATGGATCATCAGTTGCCTTGTCATACAGTGTACGGTGAAGACAAAATATGATTTGTAAACAGAGATGGTGTCTCTCTTCATTATGTTCACAGTTCAGAATCCCTCTGTTCAATTCATCTGGGATGGGAAGTCGTTGTACACTGGAATTACAAATTGTTTATTTTCTTAATAAAAAATTTAACTTTTATTATTCATAAAGAACAAGAACTACTGGTTATTGGTTTATACTTGAAACCTAAAAGATACACCTATAAATCATATATCACCAAAAACCACCTCTAATCACAAACTAAAAATGTGGAGAAAATTGTTTAAAATGGAAAATCTTTATGAAAATTTTACCCCGATATAGATTTTTCAGTATACTAATACCAAGACACAAATTTCCAGATTTGCAAAGATGCCCTATATTTTATTTCACAACTACATGTTAGACAGTTGCTCATAACAGATGTTCACTGTAGAATCAAAAAGTATTTCATTAAAAAATTAAGACACACCCATCAATATCAACACATAAAACCATACACAATAAGCTAAATAAATAAATTCCACCATTCAATAACCTTACAGTATTTCCTACATAAATTAAGGCTTAAAACAAGCAACCATCCAGTAAATTCTACTTGATATTTCTCACAAATGGCATCTCTGTTGACCCTTAAACATTGGGAGTTTTTAATCTTTGAAACATCAGGATATCAAAAAAAGATGGTTGCTATAATTACTACTAATTATGAAAATCACTTTTTAATATTGCACATATGCCAAAACGTGCACAAAAAAAGAGAATGCCAAGGTTAAGTGTTTCATATCAATGGCGTGTAACCAACCGTGGTAAAGCTGCTAATAGGTTCACATGAACCATGAAGTAACAGGTGACACTGGTTGATCCAAGTATAGTAAACGGCTGCTTAGTGCTTATAACAACTTGACGAGATAGAATATAGTGTCACTGTACAAAAACAGACAATTAGGATTAAATGTCAGTCACCAATAATATAAATATTTGCACGCACACACAATACCAACCTTACGTCTTGTAGCAGAGAGCATTAAGAACTGTCTGTGCTGAAAATAATCAAATCTTACATGAGGCATTGTGGAAAATTAATGGGATGTTCTAACTACAGGAGAATTTATGTGGGGTTTACAAGCTTCTATTTGGAAGACCTCAGGGGGAGTCAAAGCTGAGGGGCATGACTGTACAACCGTGAGACTATGAGTGAGCCTGCTGTCCTGTTTCTAGCTTCACCACTGCTCATCAGCGAGATCTACAGCTGAAAACCTCTGGAACAAGTTGAATATGAATCACTAAGGACGGCTAAATAAACAGCACTCCAGTGGCCAAATCAAAGTCAACCATTGTCAGATAGCCAAGTTGTATATTTAAGATTTGGTCCAATGCCTGACATACTAATACTAAAAGTCCTCAAAATACTCAATTAAAATTTAAATGTGGTTATCTAATATTTCTCATGAGGTCTTTGTGGACTAAAAACTCTGTTGACTGCATCTATAAATATGGAAATAGTCTTGCGTTGACTTATACTGCACCTATAAATGGATAAAGTAAAGAACTAATTAAAAGATAAAATAAAGAAACAAAACAAAAAGTTGAGCAAAACAAAATAAAATTTAATGATTGTAAATGCCATGTGAAACAAAATGAAAGATTTCAAAAGGAAACACAAAAGCAAAAGAGAAAAGAAAACACAAAAATATCACAAGGCAGTCTTTAAAAAAGCATATGCATTAGTACTGGATATCTATTTTCAAATAATCAACCTAAACTTAAAGTATGTTTTAGCCTAGAGAAACAAAAACGAAAGCAAATGCAAGCCATAAACATAAGATGCTGATGCTCAAATGTTATTACATTTTTACATAAATACTCAGTATCTAGTATTCAGTTGTCCAAATCTTTTTGGAATATGCTTAGGGATATGCAACCTGCACCTCTGCTGGGAGAAGCTAAACCTTCCATTCATGTCTTTGGTCCATTCATGTCTTAGTTATCAGTCTATTCAGAGGGTCCCTTGCAAAAAATTAACAAGTCAGTTAAAGATTTTCCCCTAACAGGCTGTTTATAGACAGTCTGCTTTCTTTACCATTACCTCTTTTTCTCAATGAAGCACTCAGCATGCTACATTTAAAACTCAGATTTTAATAAACAAAAACGGTTGCGAGACGGATCATGATATTCCTGCCAGACCAAAAAGTGCTACATTACTGAGAGCAAAGAGGAAAAACATCATCAAATTAAGGCATCGTAAATACTGAAGAGCTATGTAGGATGAAGATACTGACAAAAAGACAAAAATCTGAGTTTTAAATCCAGCATCTGGTGAATGAGGTTTCCGACCAAATATGGCACATAGCAACAATATCAGGCTAACATCAGAGAGACAAATTTGTATCAAATGTGAAATTGGTCAAATATTGGGATAAACCAGAAGGCCTAATACACTTGCATTTGAAGCATCCAACAGCTTGAATCTTAAAAGAAACAAAAATAAACTGTCAAACGAGGTGTCTAAACAAGACTTAGAAACATGAACATTTGCGAAGACTTGATTACACTAAAAATAATTTTCTTTTTCAAAACTGCGCCAATTTCTCTGGCTTCGCAGACAACATCCCTCTCCTTCATTTTCCTGGCAACCCTACTTTCTACTTGTGCGACTTGCTTGTTTTGAACGACACTTGTAAAATCTTGTCCCCGAGGCGGTAGCCGTTGAGGCCAGCGATAGCCATGGCTGCCTCTTCATAGTTTGGCATGGTAACAAACCCAAATCCTTTGCACTTGTTGGTGTTGAAGTCGCAGATCACTTTCACATTTGTGACGGCACCGAACGGCCCGAACATCTGCCACAGAATGCCCTCATCTGCATCCTGGCCCAGGTTGTAAACGAAAATACACCAGCCTGACGAGGAGTTTCCAGGCATGTTAACTCCAGACATACCACTCATGTGGTCCACACTCATTGGAGAGAACCTGAGGACAGGAAATCACAACTTTCAGTTCATAAGATTCACACACACAGTGTTTTAAAGACAAAGAATTTTCATTTTTGGGAGAGAGTTCCATTTAGGAATGATGTGGTAGGCAAGCAATGTCTGACTTCATTCACCTGAATCTCTGGGCCTGGTGGTGGACGGGCCCCCCAAAGCGGCGAGGCTGTGTGTGGTAAACAGGTGGAATAATTTGTGAGTTTTTCACTTGGTTGGGACTGGCAGCGAACTTTACAGTGATTGGCTCTGCAGCTCCTGGCGGCTTCTGCCCATTCAAGTCCTTAATTGCATCCTCTGCCTCTGCTCTCTTGTCAAACCGAATAAAAGCCACACCACGAGAGAGTCCTGCAATAAGAATAAATTGTAAGCACTTAAATGCACACCAAGTGTGACAGACACAACTATGCTTATCTACCAACCTGACACTTGATCGACGAGGACACGGGAGTTGATTATTTTGCCATAACGTGCAAACATTTCTTCTATGTCCTTCTGCGTCATTGTTTTAGGCAGCCCACTTATGTAAAGGTTGGCATCCTTTATGGTATCAGAGCTTGGCCTGGCATATGACACCTGTCAGGAAGAGCAAAGTTAAAAGATCAGATCTTGAAGAAACACCTCCCCTGGAGGGGAATCATTTAAAAAACTAAATGTAAAAAAATGTAGATACAAACTTTTGCCATTTTTTTCAAACTGATTTTTTAAACTGCATTTTTCTTTTTTAAATAAGGAACACCCCCAATATGTTGAAAAAATTATTTGTACCATGTTTTTTTCCTTACAAATATTAAATAATATTTTATAGAAATAAAAAAACAATTAGAAAATATTCTATAGAATTCAAAAATGCATTAAAGCAACCTGTAAAAAATTATAAAATAAAACTCTTGAAATTGATAGATATAAATATTGAAAAGCCTGCTAAAAAGGCCACAACCAAGATGCCATCAGGTCTGAGCAATTCAACAACTTTACTTTGTTTTCGCTGCCTTGTTGTCAAAACGGCGGTCTGACCTGAAGCAATGACACATTTAACTTTACACAGGAGCACCTTTTGTCACATTACCTTGATAGTTTTAGACTGTAGTCTCAGTCCATTGAGAGTACTGATTGCTCTTTCTGCATCACTAGGGTTAAGATAGTTAACAAATCCGTACCCTAAACTGTGGCCTAGAGAAAAAAAAAAGGAAAACAATAAAACAAACAAAACAAAAAAAAGTTGAAACGTTCCAAATACAAAGGAAAAAAAACATCCTAATATCAAATGTTAAACTTCTGGGGAAAAAAATGTAATGCCACCAAACAAATAAATCCACACTGACTTACACATATGTGGGAAAGGCCTGAGAAATAAAACTAAAAATAAGTTGTTTTTTGTGTCAACACTGAAATGAAGGCTACGCAATTGTAAATAAACACTTAAGTGCATCTGAAGTCGGAAATCGTTCAAAAACTTTTAGCAACATCACGGCTATATGCAAACCCAGCAAACAAAGCTACTGCATCCCTAAAACAGCGAAGACTAAACATATTTTCTCAGATCTTCCTCTCAACACTTTTTTTTGGTCTAATTTGAAAGCAGAGTGCCAAGTGCTAATAAATACTTGCCTGCTACTTTGTCCCGAATAAGTTTAGCAGACTCCACCTCCCCAATGCTGCTGAAGAGACTCTGCAGCTCATCTTGGCTCATATTCTGAGGCAAGTAGTTGATGATGAGGTTTGTTTTGCAATCTTTAGGCTCATCAGCCATGTGATCTTCGTAACCGTTCGACATGTCATAGACCTCCTGGAAATAATAAAAACAAGTTTCTGTGAGGGTTATACACAATGAAAGCAGAAATCAACATTTAATTGGGACTATTTAATGCAAACTCATTGTGCACTCATAAAACCTGGGAAAATGCTGTAAATAGTATTGCTCATTTCTTGCTGTTGATACCTGACAGTTTTTTTGTTGTATAAAGAGACTCAAAATTAGGCCTAAATCTTGCTTTTCAATTACTACAGCTGGCAAGCCAGTAATAGAATGAAAAACATGCAATTTAAGAAAATTAAATTAAAAACACTCCTATACATTTGTGGGAGAATACATTAACATTATAATACTTAAAAGCTAGCCTACATATTACTGCCTTT